TAGATAATTTGGGATAACTCTTATTTTAAATGCATTAAGTGTGATTTTCATATTATTTTGTAATTTACATTATTGATGTATTAGATATGCATTGCATTCACTTATAAGTTGTTTAATTAAACTATTTTTTATCATTGCTGGATGTTTAATTTATTTTGTATTATAATAAAGAACATTTTAAAGTATTTTGCCTGTCCCCTGTACTGCACCTTGGGTACTTTTGGAAGTGGGTTTACCATCTGACACAAGTTATAAATTGAAACATAATATACAAATTTAGATTAACTAAAGTGATATGTCAGAGTACAATGTATTGAAATGGCATGGCAGAAGATTAACATGTTCACTGCCACCTATTTAAGTTGATGACGAACGGCAAAAGAAAATGTATTTTTGGGGTGGTTTTTTGTGATATACAGTGCATCAGATGGTATTTGTACTATTATATTTTAATTTGTTGAATGTACCCTGAAAACTTACTCGTGACATGTGTATAAGTGGTGCTGTTTTGTTCATATACCATGTGGTTCAACCTTGTGTGTATCATTAAGAACAGTTCTTAACTACATAAGAATATTAAGTATTTTCTTTTGTTGGTGAACAGTAAGTTCAGTCACACAAAAGACATTCATTGTTGAATTTGCATTATGCTTTGTGTTAAAGTATTAGAATATAAATTCCCTTACAATTTTGCAAAATTTAGTCAAAATAAAATTCATTGGTCCAAAAACTTGTTTGTGAACAATGTATAGAATTTTTCAGTCACATTGTGGTGTTTCTGGCTATGAAGGACCTGAAGTTGAGTAACAATAATTGTCAGTTTTATCTCATATGATTTCTGGACTTCAGAAGCACTGAACCAAATCTGCGCTGTAATAAATTTAGCCTCAAGCTGTGTGTCACTTAGGCAACAATAAAGTAAATGACAGTGCTGACCAGACAGGCAAGGTCAGTGACGCTACAGTGATGTGCATCTGCATCATTGGCAGTGGGGTAAAAACGATGTGATGCACATGTACTTAATTCTTAAGTAAGTTTATAACATGTTAAAAAATATGTAATATGGTTCCAAACCCAAATTTACAACATGTGGCAAGATGTACATTGGACAAACCAGCAGTTATATCTCCACCAAGATTACAGAACATGTAAGAGACACAAGACTGGAGAACTGGCAGTCAATGGTAGCCAAGCATTCTACAGTCACCAGGCAAACTTTAACAAAACAAGTCATTGCCCAACATTAGCAGTTACTGTCCCCACATAATCAGGGAGATGTCCAAGCACCCATGCAACTTCAAAAGCAAGGATAGCTACAGGCTAAGGAAATCTTTGTTTTACCCATTTTCCTTCAAATCACCAACCCTACAGGTCCTGTCTGAACCTCTTGGTTGATGAACATCTGCCACTCCCTTCTACTATTTTCTGCAAATCCTTTCTTCTCCAACATGGTCACCAGAACTTAATCATCACCTCCTCCCCAAATTCTGCCCCCTCTTTCCTGTCCCGTTGGAGAGCAGCCTGTTCCGCCAATCAGCACTGTTGTGTTTATCTTGCCATTCATTGCCTGCCCTATATGAGGCCTTCACAACTGGCCCAATCCTGCTGTGAAAGTGACAACTGAAAAGTTTTCTGAAACGTCAATTTGAACTCAAGCCACGAAAACCTATGGACAAGAACATATGTAGAATTTGAATTCCGTTTTTGTTACTACGTTATCCTAGCTTGTGCAGTTTCTATTCTTCATATGAAGTTCTACTGTACCTACCAGCTTGAAGGATTTTTGAAGAAAATATCCTGTATTATTATTATTTTGTCTCTTTCTTTTTACACCCCCCCCCCCCCCCCCCCCGCTTTTTCTGTATCTCCACGTCATTCGACAAAACATCCCGTGTTCCTTATAAACGCTCAGTTATGCCAATAATTTGTACTGAGTAATAAATAGCACAAAATTTTGATTGATAACTTGGCTGATTGGTCATCATTTGCTGCTGAGGGATTTTGAGTTTAATGAGATAATATTATAGCTGTTGCCATGGCAATGCTGTTAAGGGGAACTTATTAAATACCTGTAACTCTATCATGGCGTACTATGTGCCTACGTGTGTTTCTGTACGATTAAGTACAATTATCTTGAATTTGTGTACATAGACCTTTGTATTTTAATGACTTTTCAGTCCATCTTATGGTATTGTTACATCTCTTAGCAAGCAAATTGTATTTCTCTTTATCTTAATTATTATATCTGCCCCGTTTGCCAGAGTCTGTCTGCACTCATTGATTCCATAGTACCGATATATCTTTATCTTCGCATGCCAACTTAGGTATGTGTGTGTACCAGTTTCCTGTTGTATCAGTGTCTTACGTCTTTCATATTGAATAATGCAGATGTGCCCAAACTATAATGTGTTATTATGTATTTATTTTTTGCTATAATGGGGCATCCTGATGTTAGGTGGGCCGTTGTTATTATTTCATTGCATTTATAACATTATACAATACTTTCCTGTTATGAAACCTTGAATTACTATAATTAATAGGATGGAAAAGTCTCTTGGTGGATGACTCATTCCATTAAACACAGACAGAATCATTGGAAAAATTGAATTTTCTTTGCATTCTGTATATTTTGACTTAAAGACTAAATGTTCCATTGTCACCAGTGTTTCATTATGAAAAGATTGCCAAATGAGTTGAGGTGACATCAAGCAAATGTTATATTGAAATGTAGATGATACAAGAATTTTTTGGAGGTATTTAATTCTTTAACGTGTTTATGTAATAATGTTTAAACTCCTTAATCCTATAAGCGTAGATAAGGAAGTGTGCAACATAAATGTTTTGTATTTAATAAATATTCAAAAGAAGTCTGTGCTAGCAGAGCAGATATAAAATATTTTCTATTTTCTGTGCCATGAAATACATTGCCACAGATGGAGAAATGATTATGTGATTTTCCCAAATTCCTTTTCATTGTCATAATCTCATCGATAAGTGCATCTCTGTTCATTGTATATTTTTTGGTCTACATGAAACAATCAGCCCCTCTAGTACTACCAGACATTAACCTTTATAAGTGTGTGGTTCTATGTTCCAGCTGCTTATGCACTGAACGGCATAAATAAGTGGCAATTAGGAATTATATATATACTGTGACTACTTTGTGAACCAATTGGCTAGTGTAAATATTGAACCTTGACGTAGGCTTCAAGGACTGATTTCATATTTACACCATGTGCAAAACACATACAAATAAATGGAAGTATTGAGCCAGTGAATTAACAGTATCTAAGAGCTCCTGTATTTGGTGGGTGTCTCAGTGTCAGCAGAGAACATTTCTTTGCCAGGGAAATGGAAAGTTGACCTACTTTGTCTTACCAAAGATGGTTTTGCAAAATCTTTCATTGTGTATTTCATAGCACAAGACAAATAAGTGGAGTTGGACAGAATTTTTGCATGATCTCATGTGGTGTAGATAATTTAATAAATGCAAGATTCTAGATGATATCCGTCTTCTGGGTTATTGCGCTGTGTAGTCTGGTCGATG